ATTATGCTAAGTGAAATAAGTCAGAGGAAGACAAATACCAAATGATTTCACATATATGTGGAATCTAAAGAACAAAGTAAGCGAACAAACAAAACAGAACCTCATAGATACAGAGAACATCCTGATGGCTGTCAGATGGGAGGGGGGTTGGAGGGCTAGATGAGAAAGGGGATAAGATTTAAAAAAAAAAACCAGGGAGAACAGGCCTTTAGTGGGAATATAAAGTAGAGGATCAATGTCCCTTCCACCCCCACTAAGCACTTGCAAAAAAAGGAAATAGACTTGAAAAATCATATTTGAGTTGGATTTTTTTTTAAAGCAGAATCTTATAATAGTAAAGAGAAAATGAAATTACCCTCCCTGGTAGCTTTTAAAATAAAAGATTGGGGGTGGGAGGGTGTTTGGATCTGGTCTGCTCTGCTTCTTCATGGTAACAAAGGGGTGGATTGCATTCACGAATTCACTCGCTGTTTACTGGGTGCCTCCTATAGTCAGGCGCTGTGTAGGTGACTCAGCTGTAGAAGTGAACAAACCAGGCAAAACAGGCAGTAAACAGATCATCGGTGACACATCTGCCAGACAAGACTAAGTACTACAGAGAAAAACAAAAAGGGAGGGAAGAGGGGGGAGGGGGGAGGGGGAACTAGGTAATTAGGGTTGTCAGGGAAGACCACACTGGGAAGGTGACCTTTGAGTCCCTAGAGCATAGATTAGAGTAGATTAGCAGACAGCTGAGAACATTCCAGGTGGAGGAAAAGCCAGTCGCATGGCCTGCAGGTGAGAGCACAGGCAAGTTCCAGCCACAGCAAAGAGTAAGAAAGAGGTAGGAGATGAGGTCAAAGAGGGTGCTCAACGGCTCAGCTGTGTCATTCTTTAATTTTAGGATTCAATTCCGCATTTAGGGAACATTCCTACACACCAGAAACAAAACAATGCCCCAGGGGAGGTTTTAAAAAAGTAAGTGACTACAGACAATGTTCAGCAATGAACTCTCTCAAAGGTAACAGCCAATCTCTTTCTGCCTCGTTCGGTATTTTTCAGTCTCTTCTGCAAGATCGAGGCACAGACCACCTGACAACTGCGTGTTAATGATTAAGTTTTCAAATGGAGAAACGGTCTTTTAACTCAAGTCTATGTCAAAACCCAACACAAAGCGCTCAATGAAAAATACTAACTTCGCAGTAAATACGCGAGACATCCTAGCATATAACTCTAAAGACCCATAGATAGCATCACAGCCTATTGACTCAAAACCTGGGGCCTGCCTGGTCCCCAGGGCAGCTGTGGACTTGCTTTCTGGGCTGCGGGCCTGGGGAAGCAGCTGGGCTCAAGTGGTTGGTGATACCTGCAGGCGGAGCACAGGAAAGGCCCTGCTCGTTTCCTGCCTTCTTCCCTCCTCTCCCTGCCCCCTCCCCAGAGCAGACCATCCGGATCCAGGCCAGCATTAGATTTCAAGTTGAGGTTCAAACAGCTTGCTCTTTGTGGGACTCCCCAGTTCCTGAAATCAGAGGGCGCTGGGTAGGGCCTGGGTGTGCTGAGTCACCAGCTGGCTGCACACTCCCTCTTGCACGTCAGGATGCGGTGCTCAGAGCCTCCTCCGTACAGTGAACCCTGGACCACCTGGAGAGCACCTTAGAAGAGGGTCTGTGACCATCGGGACTGAGAACAAGAAGGATGATTTAGCTTCTTGCGGCTTCAGAAAATGTGGCTGCTCAGACAGAATTACAAAAACCTCTGCCCTTGTCTCTACAGGGTCCTCCAGCATACACCGCCCCCCCCCCGCCCCCCGCCCAGCTGCCTAATCATGGCCTTGTTTATTTTACACGAGGCCTGAGTTTATCCAGTAAGCATAGGCACAAGCCAGACAAAGATGTCAGAAAATTCTGGGCCCCAGGGAGCCACTGGATGCCAGCCCTAGGAGCTGAGCCACGGCTGGCTGCCCGAGGCCCGGTCCTGCCGGCAGACAGGTTTTGGTAAGTTAGCTACCGACTATACAAATCACACAGTTTCACCTAAAGATCTAAAATTGGAGACGCTCTTGAAAACTTGGAAGATCTGGTCTTCCGATAGAAGGTGCTGGAAGACGTGCTCCCTGGGCCAGCACCACCAGCCATCCCCTGCTGCTTCCCCGTCCGTGCCTGTCCCTCCGAGGGTGCCCCGGGCCCTCATCTAGTCCAACCCCTTCATCCCACAGGCGGGAAGCAGGTCCAGAGAATTTGCATGACTTCCCCAAGGCACTCAGTCAGGTAAAAGCCAAGCAGGAACCAGAATCCGGGTCCTCTTCCCAAGACGCTCCCATTCCCCGGAGCTCCGATCGTGAAATGAATTGGCCACGTTGGAAGCAGTGTCGCGGATGACATCAGCTCCGAGGGGCTTTTTGTTATAAACCGTCACTGGGAATAATGAAGGCATCAAAGCTGTGGTGCTGGTGCAGACAGAAGGGCTGGGAGGCCTCGGAGAAGACGCGGGTCCTGAGGGCTTCGAGCCAGAAGTCACCCATATTTAACTGTGCAGGCAAAGCAAGCCTGAACCGAGCTCGCATCTTCATTTAACTATAGTGAATACATTAGAAATTATATTTCTTGCCTTTTTTTCTTAGAGATTTTTTTACTGCAAGAATTCTGCCCATCATTATATTAATTCATAAGACATAGAATACTAGTAAATGGGTAATCAACTGGGCCTTTCAAGATTCTTTGTGAGCAGGGATGTTATTTTCCTCATAAGGCATATCTATTGACACCTAAAGCGTGTCTGTTTGCCCGGGCAGAAGTATTACACACGTATGCATAACATGAGAGTGTGCTGGCACTGAGGCCCCCGGCGGGCATGTTTTCTCACGTGCCAATTCAGAATAGAAGTGAGACTTTTCCTACGTTCACTTTTCTGCATTCCACTGGCTTAGCATCATAATTCCATCCTGTTTCCCCAGAAGCTCCAATTCTACCTGCACCATTTCCACACACCTGTCACCTTGAAAGGATGTAAAAAGAAACCAAAGTATAGTCAATAACATTGTAATAACTGTGTATGGTGCCAGGTAGATACTGGAAATATCGGGGTAACACTTTGCAGAGTATGATTGTCTAGCCACTATCCTATACACCTGAAACCAATACAAAATAATATTGGATGTAAACTGTCATTGAAAAAAGTTAAAAAAGAAAGCAAAATATTTCTTTGAAAAAACTATGTAATCTTGAAAATAAACCTCCACACCCCCTTAAAGAACAACAACAAAAAACATGTAGTAACTAGGTGGTGACAAGTGAAACATGTCCCATGCTTCACTCCTTCCTTACCCTGAGCCGCCATCTAAACCTGGGTACCTGTCAGAGCCGCTCAGACGGTCTGGGGCGATGCTGCTCAGTAATGCTTCAATGTCATTGGAAATCGCAGTTGCTAAAATTAACCTGGCACTTGGCAGAAATCATCAGAACACTTTGCATCACACACTGTGACAGAAAGTGTCTACGGCTCAGGCAGCCCTCAAACAGAGCTCTGTTCACAAGAGGGACCAAGGGCCAAGGCCACACAGAGAAAGTCGCTGCCCAAGTTCAAAGTCCAAACTTCTCTTTGCCTTCCAGTCTTTGTTTTTTTGTTTTTTTATTTTTTTCGGTAAAAATCAGTTTATTATAAAACCAATGAAACGTCCCATAAAAGATCGAGTTTGCAAAATGTGAACAGCACAGAATTAAGAACCATTGCCCCACACCCTTCCTCAACCCCATTTTCATGGCACAAACAAAACTAGATGGAGCCCTTAGCCGCCTGACCTCCAGGCCAGCATTCCTTCCACAAGCAATGCCGTCTCCCGAGGTCGTCAGCCACAAGCAGGCCCGGCTTAAACAGAGCGCCCGAGGCCCGCGCAGAACTTTGCAGCCGTCTGGCCCTAGTTCTGGCTCGATTTCCGCGAGTCCGAAGCTGGACAGCCATGCTCACAATCAGGGACGTCACAGCGCACAGGCGCAAGGGCTGTCCGATAACGAAGAGCAGGACTCTGCATCAAACAGCGTCGGTACCATCCACAATTCGACGTAAACGACCTCTGGGAAAGGACTGTCTTGTAATAACGTCAGGACTTGGTCGCGACGAAGCCTCGTGAGCGGGCCCCAGCGCTGATGGTGGTGGCAAGCAGGCAGGGACATCCCGCAGGAGCTGCCAGTCTTCATTTTTTTAAAGTAGGGCAGGGAGGAGGCACTCGGTGGTTGGGCAAAGAAAAGGAGGGCTCTACTTTGTCACCCGCCAGAGTGGGTTTTCTCCCTCACTCCCCACCTCCCTCAGGATCAAGGCCAACTCCCTGTGAGCTAGCGGGAACCCTCTTGAGTGGCAGGAGGAAGACTCTTAAGGCAATGGGAAGGCACTTCTGCCGGGCCCAGATGGCTGCCTCTGTTCCAGCTTCCTCACTGCACAGCTCAGGAGTCAAATGCAGCTAAAGGGTTAAACACATTCCTTGGAAACAAGAGGAAGAAAGATTCCTGGAGCCGTGCAGGTGCAGAATTACAGCCTGCCACCGCTCACCATGCCACAGATTCCCGGCACTCAGAGGGAGCAACGCTTGGCTTTCCTTATTTTGCCATTTTAAGAGAAAGGAAAGAAATGAAATAAATTTTCTGCTCTCTTAGCATGGGACCAAGCACACAGGAGGTGCTCTCAGTAAATATTTCTGGAATGGTCAACACAGTTTTATAAGATTTCATCAGAGTTCCTTCCCACCTGCACCTCCAGCCTGATACTGAGGTGTCTGGTCCACAGACGGCCAGTTCAGGGCCAGGTCATGGGGCATAACGGCCAAAGGGCTATGTCCCCTTGTGGGAGTCAGGCCAAAGCCTGCCTGGCCATGATGTCATCTCCCTCAACAGCACAAATCCGCACAGTTTAGAATTCCACATGAGATGAAAGTGTTAAACTGGTGATTGTGAAAAATGCAAACAAGAGAAAATGTATCTTTTCTTGGCCAATAGAGGGAAAGGCCAAGGGGTGCAAGACACACAGCAGAATAGTTTGTTTCCTCTTTTTTATTGAGTCACAACACATCAGTACAACAGAGGTCCAGCCCAGCTCGGTGGAGGTGTTCAAGTTACTCCTGCTAAATGAATAAACCTGTAATACCCCGAGTCCAAAGAAGTAAACAAAAAAGGAGGCAGCAAAGCCCTTTTAAATATCTCAACAGCCACATCTGCATGCGCCAAAAAAGGAAAACGCAACATAAAAGCTTCCAGTGAGAAGAAAATATGGCCAACCCTGGAAGAATTAGGGTATGCCTTTAACAGGTTCCACTGGACCGTTCCACTGGACCACACTTGCCCACCTGGTGCACTTATCCGTGTTAGCATCTGGGAGATCTGGGAGATTAAAATGCATCACACAGCTCGGGGCTGGAAATGCAGGGTAGTCTATGCAATTATCCTCATCTCCTCCCAGCCAACTGCAACAGGGGCCTCCACTGCACGGGGCTCCCTCCTGACTAAGCCAGAACGGCCCGTCTGGTCCCGGCAGACGGTTGGTCATGAACTCAGGGCTCCTGGTGGACTCTGTACATCCACCTTTCCTGCTGTAGGAGGCAGAGAATTCGCCTTCTTTCTTGGATAAAGCTGATCATCTGATTTGTCAAACGCTTTGTTCAGAAATACAAAATCCAATATCCCCCCCCCCCCAAAGAATATTATTTATACAACACCTTCATTGTCAAAGTATTAACAGACAGCTTCACGTTAATATTCAGCATAGTGGTTTGGAAAATTAATTCTAAAAACAGAATGTAACACAGCCCCCAAATACTAAGAATTCCCCAAACTCTGAGGCAAAAATTGAATCACTCGTAGACCAATAGGTTTACAAAGTAAATTAGGCACAGTACAAACCTATCAGCAGGTGTCAGTTTACAGTCCATTTAATGTTTGGAACAAAATTTAAAAACTGCTAATACATGTCATGATTTTTAAAAAAAACATTAAGAAAGAAAAGGTAAAACAACAAACCTTTCGTCTTTCAACAGAATTTATCTGGGATTGTACCTGTTTCCTCTTTATTATAACTGACGACTTTAAGGTGATGTCAGCAACCGCCAGCTCAGCTGGAATTGTAAGCGGTCCCTCCCTCATTCTACAGCATCAGTTCTTTAAAAAGCTCCGATCTCCGTCCCCCACGGTCTATAGGGCTTGCCGAGGTTTGCTGCCTGCGTGGGTGCCGACGGGCTCAGTGCACTGGGAGAGAGTAAGTGGAAGGAGCCGAAAGAGAAGGGGAAGGCGGAGAGGGAGGCCACGGAGGAGAGCAGGGGTGGCGACAGTTTGGAGGCGGAGGTGACCACGGGGAGCACCGGTCCAAGGCCACCGCTAGGGGGCGCTCGCAGGGTGGGCGCCTCGGGATGAGCCGCCGCCAAGCGGCCCTGGTGGTGCGGGTCCGTGGGCGAGGCCGCCGAGCCGCTGTTCCCGTGGCCGTTCTGGGGCAGCAGCAGCGGGTGCGCCCCGTGCGGGTGGTGTCCGAAGGCGCTCCCCCAGGGAAGGTGCCCGAGGCCCGCGTGCCCGCCACTCGCCGCTTCCCGCTGGGAGGCGTAGTTGTTAAGATGCGATACCAGCCGGACTCGAAGCGGGTCGGAGGCATCCAGCCCCTCGATGATGCTCAGGTAGCGGGCGACCTCTGCCAGGCACTCCCGGAACCCCAAACTCCGATAGTCCATGGCCAGGGCGTGCGCGTCGAAGTAGCCTGGGGCAGAGAACAAAAGAAACACCTCTAGGCTCTGCTCGCGGCCCGCCTTCCTTCAATCCCAGCGGCAGCCCTTCCCAGCAGAGACCTGCGTCCTGAAAAGACCGCATTCCCGGGCTCTTTCAAAGTCGAAATAGTTTGGAGTCGACCAAAATCTCTGCATTAACCAACAGGAGACGTATGTGTTCGCTAATGCGAGTTCAAAGCCCAATTAGAAGCCGCCGAGCAGAAATTAGAATTCTACCCTACCGGCAGATGAAACTATGCTCGTTCGTTCCTTTAATGTTTTCCCTCAACAACAACAAAAAAGTACATCAAGGGCAGAGAAACCACAGAGCAGTGAAATGCATTAGACACGCAGATGTAAGTTATCATGCAGCTTGCAGGCACTTGGTCCCGGCTGGAGACACACACAGACCCTGGCCCCCCACCTTCCCTTAGGTTTGCTCTGCTTCACCACAACAGGTTTCTTGCCTCAAGAGTCATGTGGCGGCTCTTTTTTTTTTTTTTTGAAATTCTGTATATAAAATTAACACCATATACTTTTTAAAAAGTTCTCTTCTCCAAATAGCAATACACAAATGTGGAGGGAGCTACCTGATCTTCTGCAGGGCTGCCACAATTTCAGGGCACTTCACACATAACAGGCATTTCCCATAAGAAGGTGCTAATGTGCAGGGGGCTGGGGCAATGAATCCAATGGAGAAAAGCCTCTGCGCATTTCAAAACGGACAGACAGGCAACCGCACACACCTCGCAGGGGTCCCTCCCCGTCCCCAAAGCACACAGTAAAAACAAGGCAGCGGCTGCAAAGACCCTGGCCTGCACAGTGGCTCCATCTGCCCCAACTCGGCTCCCCCCTCCCCGCAACTTGGGCCCAGGCAGGGGCCAGGCACCCGTACCTTTCCCTCCTGCAGTGTGCAGCATTTTCAGGTGATCCACCGTCATCTGCAGGATCTCGGCTTTCTCTAGCTTAGCAGATCCCTGGGGGAGGGAACAGCAAAAGATCGACTCGGCACCACGTGCCCGTGGGGAACAACTTAAAATGCATATGCATATCTGTGCTGTGTGCACCCCAACGGTAGAGACTAAGGCAAAACGAGTTGTCTTCCAAAAATGTGTTGGGTCTGTATGAATTCTCCCCGGCACAAGCGACACGGTTATTTTCCCAGACACGGATGGGGTTCAAGTGAATGATCGGGAAGGAATGGGGTGAGGGTGGCTACCCTGGGCGCTCTACCTACTTCCTCCATTACCTGCTTCTCAAAAGCACTGGGCACCAGCCTCCTCAGCTCAGACAAGCTGTTATTGATCCGGTCTCGCCGGCGTTTCTCAATGATCTGCAGAAAGCAGGCAAAACAAAGGAGGACACTTCCATTAGGGCTGTAAATCCCAAAGTGAAGAGGTGGTTCTTTCCGTTAATTTTTTTTTTTTAAGAACACTGTAAAAAGACTCACGCCTCTCCGTCTTTTCCTGGCCAGGATCTGCGAAGACGTAGCTGGGGACATGCAACCTAGGGCCGAACTCAAGTTTCTGAATGATTGTAAAAAACAAACAGGAATCGCCCTTAGGAGAGGGTCGGGGTCTGGAGGGTCGCCCCACGCTCTCCCCGCACTCAGACTGTTTTGGCAACTTGGGCCTGACAGCGCCTGGGGGTCCCGCGCAAAGGGATGGGCAGAGGGAAGGCAGGGCACCGGGG